CATGGGGACAGTATGAGCGTGTTGCCACAGAAGAATAAATGCAGGGTGCTGAGGACAAGGCTATAAAACTAGGAGGAGCTTTGGAGAAGGGACTAATGTAGTCAAAAACAGCACTGCCAGAAAGCGGTGTGACCCAGACTAATGTCACTGAGGTCTAAGCAAGAGTCACAGGGTGGACATAGACCCAGCAGCATTGTGATAGGAAGGACTTGAGATGATGTTTCTGGGGTGTGTTTATTGGGAACAGTGCGTGGAAGATGAAGACCGGGTGTCTGTCTGGGTAGACTCGGGACCTGGAGACGTGGGGTCAGGAAGGATGAGATGTAGGACATCCAGGTGAAATGTTCACGTGGAAGCTACAAGAGCAAGCAAGCGGGCGTAGATTTCTAATGGAGGCCAAATCATTACAATCCGGGTCTGGCAGCACTTCACCCAGCTAGAAACCTCTTCCCACTCCGGAAGCCAGTGACCCATTTCTGGGGAGCTAACCCAAAGGTCAAGGCTGGAACCAGATGTTACACCACACATGTGTGTTGCTGACTTCTCCCAAAGCCTCTTTCTATACTCTTTACAGACGGTGTGACTCAGAGGTCTCAGATGCAAAGAACGAACCCAAGGCAGGATTGGGGAGTCCAAATTCTGAATCATTCCGGTCTTTTAAATAAAGGCAGGCGTATTGACGTATCTACCACTTCAGATATAAAGGGAGTAGTCTCTGCCTTTCTCCCTCCCCCTCCCCCTCCCCTTCCCTCTCCCTCCCCCTCCTCCCTCTCCATCCCCATTGTAGAACTCTCAGTGTTTAGGACTGGGACACATGCATCCCTTCGCCTGTGTCCTACCTGACTGAAATCTCCCAATGGTCCCCAGCCACACTCAGCACCATTTTCCTGGCTGGGCACTGCTTTCCACCTGGCTAACTGTTCACTCCCTCATGAGGCAGCATTCTAAGACAAGCCTCCTTCAGCTCCGTGTCTCCAATTCTTTCCCCGGGATACCGTCCCTTGCATTAGCTGTAGGCTGTGACACATTTAGCTTGCCGGAACACATCCTGGGCATACGTCAATCCTGCTTTTTATGTAACACCATCAAAGCACTAAATTCTCCCGAATAAAATGCCTTCGTGCTACACAACCAGCATTAGGCCAAAGCAAACGCTTTTCTTCTCCTTGGCCATGAGCGTGACCCGTTGAGACGACGCGTCCTAAAACTCTTCCTTTTTGCTTAATGTTGAAGATTAGGTTCAACGCCTTTCAAGATCTGCAGTCTTGTGAGCATGCAGCGTTCCTGTAGACATATGTCATCCATTTATCTGTCTATGTTTAAGCTGAAGGACCACAGTTGGCCATATTCACAGGGCAGAGTGCGGTTATTTCAGTGCATGTCTAGAATAAATAATTAGATAAGGCAGAGTAACAGACATGTTCATCACCTCAAAGATTAACCATCACTCTGTTGTGTTGGGAGCATTCATGGCTCTATTTGGAACACATGACCCCTTCTTTTTAACTGTGATCACCTTGCTCTGTTGCAGAACTCTAGAAAGTAAGCCCCCCCATAGAACTGCACCTGCTGACCAGTCCTCCTTCCCTGCCCCGCCCACCCCACTATGTTCTTAGTTCTGTGAGATCAATTGTTTTACTTCCGCATCTGGATTGGATGCCGTATTTGTAGAAGTCGCACCTTTCCAGTGGTGGTTGGTTCTCACTACCTTGGTGAAAGTCCTTTGTTTTCATTTGCTAGGACTCACACTTCCCTTCTAAAGTGTCCCGGAGAGCTCTAAAGTCGTAAATTAATTATTACAGTCAGAGTTGTGGGGGGGGGGGGGATTATTCTCCTCATGGATGAGGAAGTGGCTGTCTGGACTAGACTGTGACTCATCCTACTTTCTGGATCTTTTTTAATGAACCATTCACAGCTAGCCTGCCCTCACTTTAGAAGTCCTACACAAATCACACCCCGTCTTGGCGGTCGATATAGAGCCCAACTTTAACACAGGCTGAAGGATGTGTTGCTTGCCTGTATAGTCCTCCAGGAGACCTTCTCCTCCTTAAGACACACGCCACTAGACCTATCCTTCCTGGTGTCTCCCTTGGCTGTTGCAGGAAACTTCCTCATCTATCCATACCTTGGCATCCAAATCATGTCTCTGTGTGTATCCACATACAGTATAAGCTTCCTGTGGGCCACTGTGTTCAACCTTCTCCAAACTTAGTGTCCATTAAGGAATACAATGCACCTGAAAGTAGTGACACACCCATTTCTAGAGGCCTTCAACCAGGGACCGTTATGGACAGCCTTAAGCATACATGTCTTATTTTCCACATTACTCGATACCCTGCATGCCTTCTCGTTTGAAGCAATTTCACCAATCTCAGGTTTTACAAAATAGGTGACTAAATAGTGCACGTTGGTCCTCAAAACAACTACTAACAATAGTTTTAAATAATTTCAATAGTGATTCATCCTAGAAATTATATGTCTTTCCAGATCAGTGTTTTCCATGATAAGCATCAGTTTGTGGGTGCTTGTTAGACACCTACTTGTGCAAAAGAGCCATGCCCTAACAGTGCACATCCTAGTGAAAGGGAGAGACACCCACGGTGTGCACATCCTATTGAAAGGGATAGCGCCACTGTCTGGACCGAGAGGTCAAGGTTTAAGTACAGTTTCTCTGCTCCCTCTAAGGGAACAAGTTCGTCTAGGAAAGCCATTAAAAAATCCCCCGATGGTTACAGAGTGGTCTTCACTTAGGTCTGTACTATGAAAAATCCAATTAGGAAACGCTTATTGCCGGTTCTGTAAGGAAGTTTGAGACCTAAACCCCCAGGGTCATCTCAGAACCAGCCCAGGCTGGAATGTTTCCTATTCCAAATCTTGTTCACCCAGCTCCCAGCCTTCCGTGCTCAGCGGTTGCAGCTTGGCCTGTGCAAATCTTAACTGTCTCTTCAGCCACTGTCACAAGAAACGCAGTGCAGGGGGCCCCCACGCAGCCAGACCTGCTCTGCTAGATTACAGAGTCTGTTTCTATTCAAATGGAATTTAGATTTAAACCGCAATCAGATCAGGGATTTACAGTGCTTTCTACTTTTCATTTATTTCGTGGATTTCAGCCCTCTTCTGGCCCAGTTTTAATCCAATGCACTTCACAGAGAATTACGTGGGTGGTCGACCAGCCTAGTGTAGGTGAGGCAAGGGGTATCCTTACCCGAAGTCGTCTTAGTAGAGAGCCCAAGGAGGGCCAACTGCTCTGCTCCTCTGGGTTGGAGGCCTCCCCCCACCCCCACACCCGCCTTGCTCCCAGGAGGATTTTTCAGTTGGAGCCCAGGCTTTCTTAGGAGAGGCTCGCTCGAGGCAAATGAAAGCCCTGGAGGTTTCCCTTCTGCAGAAGGAAAAGCGAAAGCCGCCAGAGGAGGCTCTAGCCAAAGTGCGCCGTGTGGCTGCAGCTCCCAAAACCGCAGAGGTGGTCACTGAGGGGTACAGACCCGGTTCTCAACTTCAAGTGTTACTTGGGTAACCCGGAACCGGACCCCACCACCCAGACTTTTACTTATGCTCACAGATCCCAGCTTCAGGAGTGCCTGGTCATCCCAGGGTAGCTTTGCTTAGCCACCCTCTTGCGGTGGAGCGCGCTCGGCTCTAGCCCGCGCATCCCTAGCTCTCCCGCTTGCTTCCGAGTGGGGCGCGCCCTAGGGAGTTCCGAGCCTTCAACTTCTGCTTTCCCGATGACTAGACGCCCTCAAATCCCCAGCCGAGAACCTGACAACCCGGCCCTGTGAAGATGAAACATCTGGCGAGGGGCGCTCCCCTGCATTAAAAAAAAAAACAACAGCCCAATCCGCCCGGAGAACGCCTGGGTCCCTCATCACGCATTCTCCAACCAAAAGATTTTCTAGAGCAAGGAGAGGAGCCAGAAGCCCCGAGTTGCTGAGATACCTCTGAGCGCAGATGGCTTCCAAGGGCTGAGGGGCCCTGTGGCGCTGTGGGGCAGAGGGAAGAGGGCTTCTGCCTCTCTGCCTCCCAGAGAATCCAAGACACCTACGGGTGCGCGTACACACACATACACACACACACACACACACACACACACACACGAAAGCAAAACCCTCTCATTCTGCTTCGCGCGCCCTCCACGCAGTCAGCCGGGAACCCGGAGGTCAAACCACTGACCACCCGCACCGGGCTGAAGTGCCGAGACTGAGACGAAGGTTCTGGTCTCAGAGTCAAGGCTTGTACCTTCTTAGGAGGCGTCCCAATTCCGCCCAAGACCGGCGACACCTAGGTCCCAAGATTACGTGTTTGGGTAAAGGGTTTGAGCAGCATGGAGGAGGGGTTAGGGAGAGCACTGGAAAGCGAGTCCTCGCGCAGAGAACTAGCCAGCCTCTGGCTCACAGCCCAGGCGGCGGGGGCCTGAGAGTTGGACCCCCAGGCGCTCCAACTCCTGCAAGGGCGGGAGGCAGAGTGGCAGCAGCCACCACTCCGCGCGTTGGCACTAGCACGGAATCTCCGAATCGGCTGGCTAGGCATCCAGTGCCGAGGGGTGGAGGCGAGAGGGTGGAGGAGGAGTTGCCAGAGCAGAGAGGGATGACGTCCTCCAGAGCCTCTGGCTCCGGGGGACAGAGATTCGCGAGCTCTCTGGGTCCAGCGCTCTGGATCGGGGGAAGGCGATCACCGGGGAGCCGCGCCCCACTCTCCAACGCGGCGAACATGGGGCTAAGTCAGGCTAGCCCAAGCTAGAGTGCAAGCCCTCAGGCTACCTCCTAAACACCTTTCTGCCGGTCTCTTCACTCGGGGTGTCCACTCAGGAGAACCTGTGCTTTCCAGGAGGGCGCCCGCAGGTAGCCTCCAGCCCCGCCAGCCTTGCCTCTTCCTCGCTGCTCAGCGATCGACCTCAGCCAAGGGCAGGCGCCTCTCCCCGGCCACTACAGGGCGAGCCGGCGCTCTGCATTGGACCCTACTGCGGGGAAGGAGGGGGACACTGGGGTGGAAAGGCTCTCGCTCACCTGGATAGCAGAAGCCTTCCTCTCCGTCTTCTTTCCGATCCCGTTCCCAGCCCCCAGGCACAACCTTCCACGGAAAAAACAAAGTAGAGCAAGGGCGCAGGGATGGAGCGCTGCTTCCTAGTCCCTGCACAGCGGCTGTTCCCTTTGGCTTTTTCCGGGTCTGGGCTCGGACTCAGCGGCGGGAAAGGGCTCCCGGAGGCTGCAAGGGGCCGCCAGACCCAGGCTTCTCCAGCAGAGGTGGCGGCAGCACCTCCAACTTGCCACCTGCAGCGCGCATTGGGCGCCTGTGACAGCCGGCGCCTCTCAGCCCGATCCGGCCCGCCCTCCGGGCGCGCTAGTTGGCTGCGCCCATCGCCTAGGCGGACCCCATGCTTGGCCCCGCCCTATACCGGTCTCGGAACAGGGTGCGCTCGCAGCAAAAGTCTTCTGCCAGGCCTCCCTGGGCTTGCTCGCCAGCAGCCTCTGCGAGCATGGAGGAATCCTTCCTGTCCAGACCTAGACACACAAGTGCAACACAGAATTCTGTGTGGGTAAAGGTTGGAGGGACGAAAAGAGGCTGTGGGTAACGCCCCTGAATGTACTCAAGTGTTAGAGCAGGCCAAGTGCTTCCTGTTGGTTACATTTTTGCCATTTCTGGAAAAGAATTAGCGATTGCAGCAGAGAGTCAAGGGATGTAGGCCAGAAATTGACTTGGGGAATGTCTTGGGTAAGTTTCACCCCCCCCCCACCCCACCCCAAGCAGTATAGTATTGCTGCTTTTCCTCCTCCAGACCGGACCCCAGGAGTCCCAGCACCCTCAAAACCACTCCCCCCATGTGTTCTGAAGGCAACTATGTCAGCCTCTTGCTTTTGAGATTCGATCATGCAAACACCTGACCCATGCCATGCACTCATACAGCTTGTACTTTGGATGGCTCCTTAGGCCTTCGATGGTAAGCAAAGTGTATATTATCTGTGCTTTTGATTCTGCATCTACCCTGGAGACATAACTCCCAGGGAGCCTACACAATCTGCCTAGGCTATTCAAGTGCATCCCTAGTGTACTCCGCCTCTTAGCAGCTCCCGGAGCAGAGCCTTTCAAAAAAAAAAAAAAAAAAAAAAAAAAAAAAAACATGGCCAGTACAAGTCTGAAGAGCCATCCAATCAACCAGAAATGTCTGACTCTTGGGTGTCTCTATGCTAATGTGCTACACTGCCAAGTGCCTATTAGTTTAGAAACATTTCAAAATTAACTGTCCAAATAGCACATTTAATGGTCCATTAGGGAAATGTCTACACCTAAATGTAGAGTGCGTCACTGCTAAATGTAACAGCAGTGTGCACCCATGTTTTGTGAAGTTCGATGCAGAGCCGAGTGGAGGTAAAGACTATAAAGGAAGTTAGTCATTAGGTCCTTACAAGGGGGGTGCCCTAGGGGCCGTTCCAAGGTGACTTCCTGTCAAATGTTGGTTAAGTAATTTGTGCTATTTTGTAGCAATGATTCCCTGAATTTACAGTAAACACTTTGTTTCACGAGTTGAGGTGGGACAAGCCCACCTTGGGGATTGAGAACACCCCCTTGATCTCCACAGAGAGTGTTTGTTGTCACCACTTTCAGGAAGGACAAAACGGTCCCCACCCTTCTTCAGGCTCCAAAAATCTGAGGTAGCCCAGGCAGGCAGCAAAGGATTCACCTCGAGATGCTTCCGCACTCTGGGCTGAGTGTTCCCCTAGAGAGCTGCACTTTGACCGGAACTGGGAAAAACAATGAACAGAATGAAGGTGTGGCTTGCACTAGCTGGAGCCAGCGTTTACTTAATCACCAGGGCGATACCTGATCCAGCGGAGGCAGAAGCAGGCTCTGTATGGTTATAACACCAGGCCCCTGGTACACTGACACCCTGGGGGGCTTGCTAGGACTCAACACGGGTGGGGGTGGGGGAGTGGAGGGGTGGAGGGGTGGAGGGGTGGAGGGGTGGAGTTTTGCCAAGGGCTGTGGAACTATCCTGAAAGTTCTTGCTTAGGGAAACTTTTTCTTTCTTTCTTTCTTTCTTTCTTTCTTTCTTTCTTTCTTTCTTTCTTTCTTTCTAACAACATGTAAATGAGAAAGCCTGATGTAGACTAGAAACAAATCAGAAGGAAAAAAAATCAAAGTATCTGTTGATAGTGGGAGAAATTAGCAGATGCTAGGCTGCTCAGTGGTCCCAGCTGGTGGAGTTGCAGACTAGGGAAATTGCAGGACCTGACCTTAGAGGCATCAGTCCATGATGCTGCGGAGGGCACTAGGGAGACTAGGAATGGAACTCCAGGAGCCAGCAGCCATGTTCTTAAATATGGGGTGCAACAGGTTCGGTATGTGACCTATATAGGGGTGCATGTAGGACGTATCTAAAGCTTCACTTTTCCTCTTTATGAAGAGAAGATACAGGTACCACAGGGTGGAGCTGGAATTGGGATTAATTAAAATAATTCATCTGAGACACTCCGAGGTGTAGTAACTTTAATGGGAAGTGTTTAAAGGGCTCAAAGGTTGCCTGTGACTTGTGCCGTTGTTGCCAGCCACCAGTTTTTTATCTAGAGCCCATCCTGCCTATGTACTCTTTATGACTGAGAATTTCACTACTCTTGAATGGCCAGCTAGTTGACGACCGTGTGTGTGTGTGTGTGTGTGTGTGTGTGTGTGTGTGTGTGTACAGCTTTTGTACTGGTTGGCTCTTTTTTAATCTGTGCTGGCTATTCTAATGGGTAAATGTCACTTGAGAGAGCCTTCCACGTGAGTTTTTTTTTTAAGGCTACTTATATTACTTCTGCCTCTCCTCTTTCTCCGCCTTTCACCATCTCTTACCTTCCCTACTGTCTCTGACCTTAAAACATGAACACAGCATTGAGTCCCACCCAATCAGCAATTTACCTTTGTTTAACCCTTGTTACGGTGAAGCCTATGCCCTTGCACATGTCCTCATCAGGCCATTACACTTCTCACACACCTTGGGTTTCCTTCCATTTAAAAGTCACTAAGCTAGGCTTGCGGGGCTGAGGCAGGAGGGTCTTGAGTTTGAAGCCAGTCTGGGATATGTAGAGACACCCTGCTTAAAATGAACAGAAATGAGAGCACACACCAAAAAAAATCCTTTTCAAAATCTTTTTGTATGGCACTGCTTATTTACAACTTTGAAGGAAGTTCTAGTTAACCCTTTCATGATCTCTTTTTCTGTAAAAAAAAGATAGAATTACACTAAAAAGCAAATAAAGTCTCATTTTATAGTTCATAATTTTCATAGTTTGTAATTTCAAATGTAGAAAGCAGGGAACCAAATATCTTTCTCTCTGGGTTTTATCAATTGCTATTACTTTGAATTTTACATATCTTTAAATAGATGACTTTCAGATATGTGGATGCTCATGGTTAATATTCTTTTTCTAACCCACTAAAGAACAAGCGCAAACTTAAGGCTCCAGTGCCCTCAGATTCTCCAGGGCACACACCCCCTCCCCAAACATGACACAATCTCACATAAATACCCACTAACATCGTGATAATGTCGCCAACCAACCATCTGTAGAGTCCATTCAGATTTTGCCGATTTTCTTTCACGTTTTTGTCTTTTCTGGTCCAGAACCAAGTACAGAACCATGCGTTCTATTTGTTTGACGTGTTTCTTTACTCTCCCTCTGTCTGCAACTTTTGTTGAGTCTTTCTTCATCGTTCCTGATTTCCATGCCCAAGGCTGTTTCTCAACTTAGATCATTTCGGTGTTTCTCCATCTTTCACCAGGTGCATTCCTGAATAAAATACCAGCGAGATGAATGACCCTGGGCTTTCGAGTGTAACCATTCAAGTCACAGGCTGTTTGACTATCCCGCTGTTGGGTGTGGTAAGGTGACCACCTAGAATGGTGAACACTGGGGTAATCTATTAGAAAGGCATTGTTTCTTCCTTTGCAATCTAGGCATCCTATGGTATACATTCTGAGCATGCAAACACTCCGCTGTTCTTGAGTTCTACTGGGACTCACATCCATGTCTGGGATCACCACGCTTCTTACCAAGGATTGTGCAACTTCCTGTCTGCATCTCTTTTTTGCATTTGTTACTTTTTTGTGGAGAGCTGCGACGTGCCGCACCTTAAAGATGGTGCCACTTCCGCCTACCACCCTCCCCGGTGAGCGCTCGGGGAGTAAACAACTCCATATTTGGTCAAGGCTCGGGTCCACGGCTTGCTTCCGTGTATGTGGACCTATCTGCTGTCGCCAAGTGGCGTGCTGGGGTTGGTTATGCCTAGGCCATATAAGCTGTGGGCTGGCTTTCCCTGGGGAGAAGAAGACTGTTTCAAGGTTCCTGAGTAAACCGCTTGGAAAAGAGTTCCCGAGTCGCGTCGCGTCTTCCTTGCTGGTCGAGGCGGTCACGACACTTTTTAGTCTTTTACAACCCCCCCACCTTTTTATTGATTTACTCTCAGGTTTGCTAATTCCTATTCCATTTAATGGGCGGTATTTTGCCACCTCAATGTGTGTTTTAATGCCCAGGTTAACTCTGGTTTTGAGGTGGGGCGTCCTTTAAGCCGGGTCTCAGTGGTCTCTGAGCACTCACTCACTGTCAGGTACCACAAGATATGCCACCTTGAGCTTTGGTTGTCTCGGTCCTTGGAAGAGCTCTCTCGTTTCCAACAACAATGGTTCCTTTTTTTTTTTTTTTTTGCAAGAAAATGTCGCTCAGAAATGAGGCTTGGCTTCAACTATTCCTTCCTTCCAACTGGTTTATTAGATGCAAACTCCAGGTCTTCTCAGAGGATGAAGCAGGGAAATAAACGGCACCTATTCACACACAATGATACACAAAAACCTCTGTTCTTACATATGTCTTTGCATTTCTACTAGTGGTATCCTTACTATCCATGTATAAATTAATGCCTATATTGATATCACACATTTGCACCGATAGCTCCAATCGTAAGTGAATGCATCGGTGCTCTCTCTAGCCTCCTCCTTTCTCTCTGTAAATGCCTCCTCTGCAGAGCGATCCCTGACTCTCCTTTCCCTCAGCACTCGGACTTACAGCTGCCACACATGTCCTTTCAGAAATCATGCCACTACAAACTCCAACCCACTCTTGCCTCGCTGGGATTTCTTTCCCACCTGCATCTCTCTACTCCATATTCTAAGCCCATGTCCTACCCCTAACTTTTTTAGATACTGGCCACCCCTTTGGGGGATGGTTTTCTTGTACCTGAAGTTCTAGCCAAAATCCTTTGTTGAATTTGTTGACCATAGAGGTATTCATCTATAGCAAATTATGTCAGCTCTGCTTTCAAATAGGCCCGGCAGTCAACCCTTTCTTACCACTTCTGCGGGACTCGCCTCTGTTTGGCATCGTGCTTGGAGGCTGTGTCAGCCCATCAGTCTAAAGAACAATCGAAGAGGAGAACTATGGCTGAGGGGTGGGGGAGGCAGAGGGCGCGGAGTTCAGTTGGTAACATGCTTGCTTTGAACCCGAGTTTGATTCCTAGATCTCATGT